TAAATAACTGCATAATGTAATTGATGCCACTCTATAAAACTTCCCAGTGCGGAAATGTATTGGCATCTATCGTGGAGCGCTAGAGTACTGTCATAAGGCAATTTCTTCTAAAAAGTCTGTTAGACAAAGCTGAACTCAAAAGAGGTCGCTTATAGTGAGCTTTATTAATGAAATCTTCGGTAAGTTCATCTATGCGTCAGAACAGTCTCCCTCAGCGCGTCCTGAGCGCAGCGGATAAAGTTGGGCGAATGGGCGTTCGTTCATTAGCCGTCCGTATGACATCGTCTCAAAAGGGAATTCTCGGACAGTCCCCTATAAAACCGGCTGTTCTCTCCAATGCTGTAGTCACTGAGAGCACAGCCGCTGCTATCAAACACAGGACGTCTCGAAAACGGTCAATTTCTACCGCCATGTCTTCATACGCGTCTTCATACTCTCGTCGCGTCAATGCCGCCGTGAGCGGCGTCAAATTCGGCACGGCGCACCGCAAGAAAGCCTCGCCGAACATCTTCGAGAACGTCAACCAGGACGCCCTGGTGAAACTCTTCGAGAAAGCCGGAGACCTGAAGGCGGCGGAGAGAGCCAGGAGCATCCTCGCGCTGCACCAGGATCCTGAGGGCATTTCCAGAGCGCTCATGGCTTCGAAACTACAGTTCGCACTTAAACGCAGGAAGGGAGCAATTAAATTACAATAAACATCCATATCCATACGTTTTTCTCTGGTGTAGAGAAGTAGGGGAGACTGGGGATGGTTGTAACATTTTTGACATTTCTGTCTGTATATTGGAGTTCTTGTAAATCAGTGTGTTCAAATTGTGATTCAAACTAGTCACAAGTGCCTGCTATTAAATGGTGTAGCTGTTATCTTTGCAGCATAACACAGAAAATGCATGGTTTATTTCCAAACACAAGGAGTGAAATGTTACAATTCACCTCATATAGTCCGGGTTAGTTGTAACATACCCTGGGGTAAGATGTAACATTATGCAATAAGGATTATGAATAAAAAAAATATATATTAAAAAAAAAAGGATTTTGGAAGGTTTTGAGCAAATTGCTCCAACAATTGAACACTGTGTGTGTGTGTGTGTGTGTGTGTGTGTGTTTGTTTTTAATAATGTTTGTTAATGTCAGTCATAGTAATTGGCCATAATAAAATTTAACTTGAACACTTGAACTTTGAGAGATGCCCCTCAGTTTGTCTTTCTTTTCCAAGACCTAGGCATATTGAAAATCAAAGTAAACACATTAATTAAAAAAAAATAGCTTGGGGTAGGTTATAACATGTTTCATTGCTGTTACAACTAACCCAGTGTCTTGTAGCCATAAACTAGCTCACCTTACAGTGAACAGCCAAAACATTAGCACTAACAACTTGAATGAAAAAATCTCTACACAGACACATAATACATATAATTTAACTTTAATGAGTTTAACTACAAAGCAGGGACTGCCATCACAAAAAATTAAGTATAAAAAAAGAGAATGAGCAGATTTGTAACTTGTTCCTTATTTGAGAAATTGCATCTGACACGTGTTACAACCATCCCCGGTCACCCCCTACAGCAGTTTTTTTTTTCTCTCAGTGGATGCATAAGATTTCCTGACAAAAATTAAGAGATTACTGTCACAGATTTTTTTTTAAATCATAATTTTATATTTTATAATAAAACCATAGACATTTCTAACGATTGATTGTTATGGCTCTCTGCATGTTAACAGGTCACCCTGCAGTTTTCTGTAAAATAAACTTTTTCTCTAAAATACAATGATGTAATTATTATTACAGTTATCCTTTAATACTCTGTTTTGTATATTATAGTGAAACTGTTATTACAATAGTGATATTTCTTAGTTTGTTTAATGTTTTTATATAGTAATAATAGAACATTAATGTCCTGAACTGCAATACTGGTGGTTGTTTTTCGAGATGGTAACATGTTTTATTCTTGTGCTACAATTGTGTGGCCTGGATGTGCTACAAATCTTTCAAGCTCTGTAGCACCAGTGCTATTTGCAAAAAAAAGTTAAAGTGTCACCTTCCATTTTCATTCCACTAAACGCAGCTTTGAAGCCCTCGTTTTCTGTTTATATCACCAGATCGTGATCTTGATTGAATCACCCACAATCTGATTCCTAAATGACAACAATTCTGCTAGACTAAAGACTGTGAACTTGTTACATACTGCTGTCTCTGCTGTCATCACTGTTGTACAATTGTCAAAGGTTTAATACACTCTAAAAAATGCTGGGTTGTTTTAACCCATCATTTTTTTTTAAATAGTGATTTTCAATTTATCCAGAATCATGCTGCTCTAGTTGGTCATTTACCCACATGTAATGGGGTGGGGGGTCTTAGGGGCTAAGCCTCTTATCTCTTCAGACCCTAGCAACGCACCTGGTTGAAGTATTTCAATCTAAATGAATAGTGACTTGCCGCTGAAATATCGCTAATGTGGCCTTGCTTTTACATGCGATTTTAGGGTCGTATATGTGATGTCATCATTTTAATTAAATAAAGAGAAACTTAAATGAAATAATCTCCCTGACTTCAAGTGTACTGTATATCTTAAGGCCAGTTCACACCAAGAACAAACTAAATAGCGTCCACACCAATGGACGATAACGTTTCTTTTCAGCTCTGTCCTCTGCCCCTTTAAAAGCTTGGATTCTGATTGGCTGTCAATGTTTTTTTCATTCATCGGATCGTTCTGAAACGATATCTTTAGCTGTGGTGGGGATATCCGATTCTCAGACATATTGGTTCTTTAATAATGAATAAAGTGCAGTCAAGGTATTAGCCTATATAAAACAACCTTTAGTGTAAATATGTTCCAGGCAGGAAATCATTTCACTTTACACTTGCTTTTAATACATGTTTTTCATGAAGCGTGTAAATTAGTCAATAAGACATGTTGGATATTTGCACTTAAATATAATAACACCTCTTCCCCACCATTAAAATATAATGTGCCTATACACTGTTCAAAATACTTCATATTCATTCATGCACTGTAGGCAGCAGAAATATGTTTTAGAAAAAGTATGGTTCTGAACCACTGCCGATATGGCTTAAATCCAGATTAAACATCGAACAATAGTCTTGTAGGCCCTGAGAGCTAGTATTGTTTTATGGTGAGTAAACTATTTGATACTAGAAATCTTTTCAGCCAATCATTCACATTAAATGAGCAGAGTCCCAGCAGATGTCACAGAACTAATCGTGTCTGTTCTCTGAGATGAGAGTGTTTTCTGATGTTGACGGTGTTATCCATAAGCAACAGTCAGATACTTCTAGTTTAATCCAGTTTTCACATGCTTTTAAAGGTAGATGTCAATATGGATCAGAAATATGACATTGTTTTAGCAAAGTATTAAATAACATATAAGTTTTAATCCAGTTTCAAGAAGACTGTTGGTAGTGATAGTGTGGCCCTTCTCACATGCTTTATTTTATGACACAAAAGCAAAACAATTTAACCAAAAATATGTTTAAGTACCAAAACTATTGTTTACCACTGGACTGTCTCTATAATGACGTTAAAAGCTCAGATTTTCTTTGTCTCTAGAGGTATTATTACTAAAATGGCTGTTCATTTATTGTCAAACCGAGGATCACATCTAATCCAACTGTCTACCCTCATTTAATCTGACTCAAAATACTCTCAAATTACGTTTTGTTTTTACAGACCCAACCACATTAAAGTGTTCTGAAGCGAAGTAAGCTGAAAGTAGACTTTTCAGGTATTCTCAAAAAGAAATGCCTTGCAGTTCTTAAAGGGTTAGTTCACGCAAAAATGAAAATTCTGTCATTAATTACTCACCCTCATGTCGTTCCAAACCCGTAAGACCTCCGTTCATCTTCGGAACACAAATTAAGATATTTTTTATGCATTCTGACAGCTCTCTGACCCTCCCATAAACAGCAAGGGTACTACCACGATCAACGTCCAGAAACGTAGCAAGGAGTTCGGTAAAATAATCCATGTGACATCAGGGGTTCAACCGTAATATTACGAAGCTACAAGAATACTTTTTGTGTGCAAAAGAAGAAGAAAAAAAAAACATTATTCCACAATTCGTCTCCTGAATCCACTGAACGCAAACAGCGTATGTTGTTCTGTGTCAGCCGCACCACACTGATACGTTGTTTTCGTTCAAATCAAAGCACAAACAACGTAGAAAACGGCACAGTGCTTGCTGTGCTTCTGATTATTGTATTTAAATTTATACATGTAGTATATGTATATATTTAATAATAATTATGTATTAAATAAATTACATATATTTAATAATAGTTACAACATTTATTCCTATTATTATTATTATTATTATATTGTTGTTTTGCTGGGTATTTTTCTTCTTGTTGCATTAATTCTACAGATTCTCACAGATTCCAGATTAAACCAGTTGTGGACTGATGAGAAAGGGGAACTTACAGTTCAACTAGAGTTGTCATACTTCATCTTTTTATCAATCTGTGGGCAGCACTGTGTGTCAGTGTGAGTCACCGTGACCCTTCCAGTGAATCAAGAATAAACACAAGGATACAAACACCCCCGCAGCTCTCTGAACAATCACATTCATTTAAAGTAACTGTATTTCATGGTTAATTGCATTTTCATTAGACTGACATAATCATATTAAGTAATGAACTTACAACTGACAAGAGTGTGTACTGTGTGAAGATGAATAATTCAGATGGAATCTCTGGCTGTTCTGAATACCTCTCAGGGCTAAATTTTTCCTCGGAAATCGAATGTCAGCCCACGGTGCATGTGAACATCTGTTAGTACGTACAGTAAGATGGAAAAATGCCCCAAAGATAGACTTTGTAGGAATATTATTCATACTCTTGGTCCTGTCTGAATGACTGAGTTTTTGTTTGTTCTTTTATGGAACAAAACGGCAGAAACTATATATTTGGTTAATTCTTGATAACTGTTTAGTGAGCTTCTTGGAATGGTATTGCCTGTGTAAGACTTCTGAGATACAGACAATACAAACACAGTGTATTAACATAGAGACATCTGCTTCCACATCTCACTGAGAGAAGATCTTTCACATTTCACTTCACAAGTGATAGTCACAGTCATGTTTGGTATCATTTGAATAGTCTCCGTGCGACTGGTACAATGGTCTCAATCTTACAAGAAGTAGACTAAAAGGTAATACAGATCCAGGAGTTTAGAGATATGTTGCTTACTGTAGAGGGTGTGCCATTCCTCGGTGTCTTTCATGCAAATTAACACCTGTCCCCAAATGGTGTAAACTCTCCACGTTTAGGCCTTAATCAATGCAAATCCCAATTGTTAGTTCCTGTCTCCATTTGGGGGATGCTTGTCTTGGTCTGGGTACTGGGTAAATGTTGCAAGAAGATCGGGGCGCTTCTGTAGCCAGATGAGCCCAGAGTGTGTCCATACACTTAGAAAGGGAATGAAGACAAGAATAATAGTGGACAAACAACCAATTTGCATTTCGAGGTCATAATAAAATAGAGTCAGATTAGAGTTTAATAGAAATTAAATTACTTTGCACACCACCATTGGATACCTTCGTTGGGCCTATTGAGTGGACCTTGCACCTGGTATTCTTTATTTTGATCATACTATATTCATTTGCAGTGCTTTTTAAACTGCAGTAGATTTCGAGCTTCCTAAACCTGGAATCTTGTGGTAAAAGCATCCCTCCCTCATGTTTACTGTCAGCGAGGATCTCTATAGGTCACAGCATGCCATGATAAACAGTGAAAACTGTGTTGTGCATTCTGCTGTTTATAGTTCAGTCTCAAGATATTTCCTGCAAGCTAATTTAACTGGTAGCTGGGGTGCTGTCCTCTTGAGGTTATTCTGTGCCATTTGTATCTTCTTCTGTATACAAACATGTTTTTCATCTATTATAATAGACAAATAATATAATAGACATTTTCAATATTTTTTGAAAATGTAAAGCGATGCACACGTTGAAGTGGGGCACCATATTTTAAAAAGGTTAAAATCACAATAAATATTATAGAGACAATAGAAAATTGGTCCTGTTGACAAAACGGAGGTAAACTAGTGTTTTAAAGTCAGAAAACCTCTAGGTTTTATGTTGTCAGTAAAAATAGCTTTCCAGTGGCCTTCCAGTATTTTCTTATAGTCTGATATAATGTACATACTTTTCAAAATGCTGCTGAGGTTGAACCATGTTCAGTCGTCTTGAAGCATACAGTATATCTGGTTTGATTTTAGACTCATGTTAGTTTGTAAATGATTCGTTTAGTACAGTCAATGATGATTAGTACAGTCAAGTAAAATAGATCTGGCTGGTTCATTCAGCAGAGTTGGCTCTATATCAAGATCATTTTGTGCACTCTGTACAAATTTATGCACATGACTCCACCTTCTGGACAGTAAAGGATTTGCACCTTTTGTATTTTCAGTGTAGGTTTTTTGTTTTAACGAACCAAAACCACTTTTTTTTACATTGAGAACCGTCTGTCCGGCCATTGAATTGTAATTCTTTCAAATATCACTGACATCAAAAGGATAGTTCGCAAAAAAATTAAAATTCTGTCATTTACTCATCATCACGTCCTTCCAAAACTGTATAACTTTGTGTGTGTGTGTGGAACACAAAAGACATTTTGAAGAATGTTGGTAATCATGAATGTTGTTGTTTTTGACCATTGCCTTCCATTGTATGGATGAAAAACCATCAAGCCATTTCTCAGAAAATTTTCTTTTATATTCCACAGAAGAAAGAAAGTGATACACGTTTGGAACGACTTAAGGGAAATACATTTTGGGGTGAACTATCCCTTTAACTATGCGGAAAAGTATTTTATTTACCTGTCCGCTTGTCCATCAGTCGTAATGAGCAAATGGTTTCAGTCCTCCGTGAGTTTAGTTGAGCTTTTGAATCGACTCGGAGCCAGTGAATACCACAGCCCTCAAACCCCGACATATGGAAGAATTTTACACTCAAAGAACTCTGGGAATGAGTAAAAACAAACAAGTTTACAAGCGTGCCCTCGAATCTCTATAACGAATGACACTCGATGACTATCACGGCCTAGGCCTATTTAGTGGCTTGTTTTTAACAGTGCAATTTGCAATGGTCAAATTGAAGGAAGCAGCCAGTTCATCTCAAGAAATAACAAGCCAGACAGACTTGCAAAGGCAGCAGAACATCATACAACATGCATCCTTTGGTTTTATCTGGTAGATATAATGAAAATGTGGTGTATTGTGCTTGATGATGCTGGTCTTACTGTCGGTGTGAGGAAATCCATCACGCACTGATACTGAGTGAGCAGTTTAATTGAGATTACAGATACTTTCAGAAAATGTGCTCCACAAATTCAATTTCTAATTCATATGACAGAACAATGTTGGCTTCTGGCACATGACATTTTGTCGTCCAAGACCCTCTCTATATGCTATATTATCAATGGCCCTTGCTGTGCTATTTGCATTCATTTGAATAATCAATCGTGATATTGCAGAGATGCATAATGAGCTGAACCCACAGAAATACGGACTCACAGCTGCAGTTGCACTTTATATCTTTGCTACAGAACAACTTAATCAAACCGCAGTGTTTAAACTGGCTTATTTTGTTAACTAAAGCTGCATTTTAATATTGCGCCACCTTAATTCCATGTTTTAAGATTTCAGTAACTGTATGACTTTCTCAAAGCATGATAAAACCTTCTAAAATGGAGATTTCGAGAAACATTTTCAGTACATCAGGGAACAGTCATCAAGAGAAACTACTCCGGGCCCTTCAGAGATCCAGCCACTCACTGTCTGTTGGGAATCACTTGCAATCCATTTCATTTCTAAAGGCTGTCTTACATTGTTCCTTTTATCTTTAAAGCCCTATGGGTCCTCTTACAATGCACATCATTTCAGCAGAATGAAAAACACTAAGAAAAAGGTCTTTGGGAGACACTGAGATGTGATTTATGGGGATAGCTTTGTGTTCTGTTGTTTGCTTCTCATTCCAGTACTAAAACAACAGTGGCACTTGCTAAATAAGTGTGAGTTAGTATTGTGACACAGAAAGTCAGGCATTCATATTGATAGTGTTTGAAGCTGCATGATACTATAACATAAAGAAAACAGAACTACTAATCGTATTTGTGTCAGAATTGATTTTATGTCATTTATAAGAGATACAATTTTAATTATAAATAATGCTAGCAACTTAGCTTCATTTTAAAAAGTCATAATTTGGGGGATAATTAGATTATTTGGGCTTTTTTTAGTGGAAACACAAAGCTTATGTGCACAAACGGAAATCAGTGTTCAGTCCTTTGTGAAAAGCACTAAAATTACCCCAATTTCAGCAAAGTACAGCATGATAGCAGAATATTAATTTTTCATCTCAGTAATGCTTCCTTATAGTTAACACTTGGGTTTCTTGCTTCTACAGTCATTGCAAGAGATAGTAAATAGTTCATTTTCTGTCTATTCATACAGCAGCTAATGTAGAAAAAGCGTTTGCTGAACATTTAGAATGACACGTCACTAGAAAGTCTTGTGGAAGTTATGAAATTACTTTTGTTAGTATGCTGATTAAATTCAGCTTCAAAATGTTGACAAAGTCTTATTTCAATATCATTCGAGAGCAATTCCCTCAGACTGTACTGTATGTACAAAACAAAACAAGGAAATGCATACATATTTAGTGGACTACAGAGAAAAACAACATTTGAATGACATTTT